TGACAAGCAGAATGCATACTGATACATGCTACAAAAAATAGTGCGGGGGGGACCACGATGTACCACGCAAAATTCCATAGAACTCCGGCACGGTACAACTGTTGAGTCGAGTTGTTATCCGTCGTGTGCAGCGCGAAATCCAGCACATACCAGCAACCCATCAGACATGAACGACGCGAGAATGGACGCCACGTTCCCGAGGGTCATGAACGGGACCGACTGTTGCTCGACCAAGTAGTTGAACGGACCCCCAGGATATTCACGGTCATTCACCCACGCATTCTCGTTGTAGCGAATACTGCACGCGAGGTTCATTGTGCCCAGGGAAAATAGCAATGTGTTGAAAACGAGCCAGAATATCCATATCCGTGACTTGGCCACGGATCTGCTCATCAGGGTGTAGTATGTCACCGTCGCAAAGACCGCGAGATGGATACCTGCATAGATTAGTTAGCAAAGGCACTGAGCAACGATGAGGAGGTGTGTACCATAACCCATGGATGCGAGATGGGTAGAGACATAGTTGGACTGCTCGTACCAAAGACTTTCCGGATCCTCTTGTGTGGTGAAAGGTGAACCCATGTCGGAGGTTGCAGAGGCAGCGAGGGGGGTTTGGGGGTGTCAATTCATATTTATGTGTTTTTGACATCGTACAGCCTTGGGAAAGTGATGCATGAACCCCGTCCGAACGGCTTCGAACAAAAGTTATTCAGGACGTCTGATTTACCCACCCCACGTTGATGAAAGGGTGACTTGTCCGTAAGAAGGGGCTCGAATTCAAGTATGGGTTTCCCAGCCCTGGGGGTTGCTGGGAGCCGGTCGTGAACCGATGCGTGGTTTTATATAGCCCACCGTTGCCTAGACGGCGTGCACCTGATCCTCGAGCGCCTTGCTGTTTTGTCCGCTGGATAATGGTAATGTCTAGTTACCGCGGGCTTCCTTTGAACTCACCCACATACCCTGAATGAGACCGATGAAGTGGAAAATGGCATGCGGGAAGCCGGCAAGAGATATCATCGCATCGCAGGAGAGCAGCCATTTAGACAACGTAAACGCGGGAGCCCAGAGCTCCAGACCTGTCTGTACTCAGAAGATGATCAGCGACTCCATACCTAATCCATACCAAGGGTTCCCGGCGGAAGCCCCGTATAAATTTAAGACCGTAATGTTAACTGGAGATTTGGACAACGGCCGGGTCATTCCTTAGGCGCACAGAGAGACATGGTGACAAGAGATGGCTGGCGTGAACGTCGAGAACAAGAGTGATTGGCATGTGCGGTGATTGCTCGCGGCGCCCAATCTGGAATTCCTCCTAAAGGGGTAACCGAATTCAACACCATGAGAGTGGAACCTGCGTGCTGTCGAAAAAGAAAAGACTTGCAGAAAACAAACGTTTGAGCCGTTGCAGCTATTGCAATTGTTAGATGCCATATTTACCAACGAAGTATCCAATGAATGATGAACATCACCGAAGCTGATGGGACCACTCAATGGCCACCAGGAAGTTCGAAACCTGGCGTCTGAGCGCCATATAAGACCTTGCGCTCCCTCCCTACCCCAACTTTTGGGACGCCAATCACGTACATTGCGGATCTTAGAGATTATCATTGCATCAGTGGGGATAGGCACAGTCACCGAAACAAATCTCCTCTGCACCGTGACCATGACCTCATATCCGGGAACCAGAGGCCTGCTACGAGGCGGACTGTGGATCAAGCGGACGCCATCGGTTTTCTCTCCGGCGCAAGTTAACCAATGGCTCTCGAAAATCAAATTTCCGGGAGACATCTCCTCGTTCGAACCGTCCCTGGACAACTTGTGTCTGTTGGCGCGGTTGAGTCTCACTACATTTCCGTTCGAGAATACTCCGATGCATTAGTGAGTGTCAGCTTAGATGGAATGCTCAGTTCAACAATAACTCCCTGACAGCACCGCGTCACACTCAATGGACATCACGTACGAGGGCCTGTACCAGCGTATGGTTGGATCGTCCGAGGGCAAGGGATCGTACTGCTTCGGTCTCAACGGCCTCTTCTTCCAGATGCTGAAGGGACTCGGCTTCAGGTGTGTCGCACCGCGACTCTCACGTTGAATTTCATCTCATCCGAAGTAGAGTGTACGCCGGTTCAGGGCGAATCAACGAACAAGCGCCGGGCGTCGCCCCCATCTTCCATGCCTTCGTCCACATGATTCTCTTTGTGCAACCAATAGAGGGGAGCAACACAACGTACTTTGTCGACGTCGGTGCCGGGCCTGTGTGCCCCATCCTCCTTGAGGAAGGCGAAGTGGTCATGGGCGCAACACCATCTGAGCACCACACCCTGACTCGCACGGCGCGTGCGGATTCAAGTCTCGGTGTGTCAACTTATGACTTGAGCTTTAGTGCGAAAGCTCATCCATCCGCGATAGAGTCCTCCCCAAACTCCCAAACTCCCGAGAAGTTCGAGTGGCGGCTCGAGTCTGTGCACGAGGGTCAAGACCCAACGCAGCCGGGCACGTCCCGCGTCATGTACTTCTTCATCGAGGACGAGTTCTTCGATGCCGATTACAGGGCGTTCAACTACAGCGTCATCGGGCTTACCGCGGGACTGTTCTGGGAGAACGTCGTGTGCACGAAGTTCTTCTGGATGAGCGACGAGGAGATGCGCGAGGTCGATGGGGAAAAGTCCGCGGTCGATCCAGTAGCACTCACACCGCTGACGCGATACCTGGGGCGGCTTGCAATGGCGGGGGACGCGGTGCGCCGCCACGTCGGGACTGAAACCACGGTTTTGCGAGTCCTGAAAAGTGAGGTGGAGCGGGCAGAGGCGTTGAAGGAGTTTTTCGGGATCAGCATTCCACACGAGGATCTCAAGTACATACGCGGTCGGGGGGCCGAGTTGAAGGGTTCGATTGACAGATAGGTCAACTGAGGAGTTTCGGACTTGTATTTCTTGAAGTGCTAGTATGTTCATTGAAACCGTGAATTCTGTATCAAGTTTAAATCCTTGCGTGATCGCGGGCTAAATGTTTAAAGCAATGTCTGCGAGAACAGAAATTGACTCGACTGTCCATCATCACAACGCGCACGTTCCAGCGGGAGCATATGCGATCTCAAGTGCCCCCTCTAAATCCGCGATGATATCTTCAGCGCTCTCAATTCCAACCGAGAACTGCGCTGGAACATAAATACATGTCGGTGACCGAGAAAGATGACCTCACCCGAATCAAATCATCTGTGACCCCGCCGGACACCTTTCCCTCGTCGGTAAGTTGGCCTTGGACAGTCACGAAGTGCGCGATGACGAGTCTTCGCGTCGCCTGTGCCCCAACATTAGAACGACGACTGATGGGCAACATGCCAATTAACTCGCCAATGTTCGCGAGATGCGATGCGAACCACAGATTCTCGATGACCTTGGTCACCTTCGGGAACCCGCCCTCGAGCCGGAACGTCAGGATCCTGCCGAACGCGTTGGGTCGCAGCATTCGCAGCGCCTGCTGGTGCGACGGGTGCAACGGCAGCCAAAGATAAGTCACTTGGATGACGTGCGGGTGTGCATCGAGATACCGGGTGAGCCTCAATCTCAGCGGGATCAGAGAAAATGGGCTGCGGTACGCTCGGATTCATGTTTCTGATTTGAGCCCTAAGCTGCGCATTCTCTGCCACTAGATCTGGATTTTGTGCGGACGCAGGGTTCAAAGAGGGATTCGGTTGATTTGACTGTGGGTTGAGCAAGTCTCCGATACCAATCCTAGACCTAGACGGGCCAGCGCCACAAGAAATTGTTGCGGAAGAAGCTCCGCTTGCTAGTCTCTCGTAGACAGACGCTACAGCAATCTCGTACCTCGCATGTTGTAGTCTGTCAGTTACCGCGCATCGGTATTGGTGATGAGCCTTATTACAAATCATCGGAGTTTGAATTTGAACAGGTGGAACTCCCAGGCAGCGAAGAGCGCGAGGAGGAGGAGAGAGAGGAGGAGGGAGATTATGTCTGGGAGGAATTAGTTAGTTGTGCGTTCGACTTTTGGAGAAAGGGTTGAGAACGAGAACGAGAATATAAGGGAACAGGAGGGTGACCATAAACACGGAGGGGTTGAGTCTGAATGGATGCATAAAAAGCGAACGAAGTCGAGCGACGGGAACCTGGAGAAGACTACCAAAAGAAAAAGAAAAAGAAAAGAACCGAACGCAGCACACAAGAAAATTGCGAGAACAAAAAACAACAAGTGCAGCAGCAGAGCCCCGAACGACCGAGGAAAAAACTCACAAGGCATCCCCCACCCCTCGTCCCCCGCAATACTCATACCCATACCCATCCCTCCCCCGGGCCCGCGCATCATCACCAAAGGGCGGCCCACTTGGCGGCGGCGCTCGAGGATGAGGATGGTGTGGCGGAGAACAAGGTCGGGGCCCGGTGAGCCAGTCGACGAGCGCGGATAGGGCGGGCAGCGGGAGGCGGTGATATGGCATATCAAAGTCCAAATCACCGTGATGGGGCCTCACGTCGAAATCACCGCCGGCGGAATCGGGATCGGAATCCTCTCCATCGGCGCCGTGCGGTGCCCGCCAAAATTCGTCGTGCGGAGGAGGGCGGGTCCTGGCACGGATAAGCATTGCTTACATGAGGTCGGGTAGGTGGTTGGACTTGTGCATATAACAATTGTTACCTCCAAGATCATCCAGCGACGCTCCCTCTCCAAACACGTCATCCGCCAACGCCATCGCGAGCAGAGTATCCTCTATCGGCGGCGGCACAATCTCCAACGCCGGCGCCCTGCCAAATCTCGTCACTTTGCATGCACACGCTGCTCCCGCCCTCTTACTCGAGCCACCCTGCACGCATCAGCGGCCTCTCTGACATGTAGACGTACCACCTCACCGAGCCCACGACCCAGTATTGTCATGCCTGCGCGAGGGGTCAGCGGGCCCGCAGACGAGACACCCTCGGCGTGGACACAAATTGAAGATATGGCAGGATAGAGTGTAACATTACATCATAAACGTGTCTCTTCGTATGGGTTCGGTGGTGTAGTTGGTTATCACGTCTGTCTAACATCAGTGTTCACAGGCGGTCCCCAGTTCGAGCCTGGGTCGAATCACTTTTTTTGGACTTCGGCGGTATGAAAAGTTTGTGGCGGCAACAATACCAAACGTTCTTACAATTGACAAAGTGCGCCCAAGGTACGCCACGTCGCATTGCGCCCACCTGCGCTTGAACACAGCCCCACGACCCCCCCTCGCCTCCATTGGCCAGATGGCTTAACTGGTAACGGCGCCAAGTCTTCCCGCCCACTGCGGTCTCTGGATCGATTGCGGCGGCCGCCAAACCTTTGAGGCCCCCACGCGTGCCCCAATTTCATTGGCCCCACAACTCGGCGCAGAGCTCAACACTTGCAACAGCCACAGATTTCAGGATGCTTTTCAGACTTCTTATGTAAATCCGGAACCAAGAAAAGATAAGCTTTTTGAGGCCAAAATTCTCGGACAACCTTTTGGTGGAGCTTCCCGGGGCCTCATGAGTTTCGCAGTAGCATCCATTCGTGAAACTTAAAGAGTGCCCGACACACTATGTTAGTATGAATGCATATTGCTCCATCATCGTCTTTCTGTTTTATCCCATGTCTCATGAAAGTTTTCGTCAGTGTAAAAGTTTGAAAGATGTTCTGGATGGTCTTCGAGTTGCTTGCCTTTCCAAGACAGTACAATAACCTTGTACCAACAGTTTACACCAATTATTTCTACTTATGAAGCGAGCGACGGCAGAAATCCTGGACCGTGACCTTCGTTAAGTGTGCCTATTCATCAGATCGTGTACCTGGATCAATATCAATTAGGACGGTCAGGATAATTACGAGCCTGGCCCAAACAACACGCACCGAAACAGCGGACTCTCACTCCCCATATCTCTGAATTCGCCGCGTCGACTAGCATCGATTCCTTCGCGCGCGCAATAGGCATCCCGTTCCTCGTTGATACGATTATAGTCCCACATCGCAAAGCAACTCAGAATTATCCTGGGAGACGCGCTAAGGTCAGGCACGATGTGCGTATCAAGAAGACTCACGAAAGGCTCAGCCACCCCATGATGGTGCCATGGCCGATATGGAAGTACGGCGGTGTGATGTAGATGAAGGAGGCACATATGCTGCACAGTTACTCGCCGGACCAACAAAAGTAGACGTAGTTCCACATACCCGCCTAGGTTTCCAAAACCGATGACCATGGCGATGAGGACTCCTAAAGTGAAGATAAGAACAAAACCATGGATAGGGTAACAGTGCACGCGGACCCTTCCTGACATCGCCTCCAGCAATACTGCCCGCCCATGCCAGGTCTACGGCGATAGTGGGGTAGACTCCGACGGCGGCCAGGATTGCGCCAGCGTAACCTGCACCCGGGGCGGTCTGGGTGTAGAGGACAATGTAGCTGTTTAGAGTAAGACGGTGCGGGAGAGACGAAAGCAAGAAAACCCACCCGACTAGCGCGACCAGGCAAGAACTGATTATGAAGGGCCCGCGGAGGTTGTATTTGTCGGAGAGGTATCCTACGCCGATGGTGGCGAAGCAGCCGATACAAAGGGAGGAATCGTGAGGAGCTGAGCGTGGGCCGCAGTGAATCCTAACTCTTGCACGATAGTCGGCGTGAAAAGCTAGAAGATGGTGCTCAGGGTCAAGCTCTCAGAAGGAGTAAAACGAATTCGTACAGCAATCGCGTAGACGGGAATAAGCAATCTGGACATTGTCAGTGAACGACGTCAGACAACGGCGTAGAACAAAACACACACCCTATGTAGATCCCAATTTGCACGTAGGTTTTGTAGTCTCTCATCGCTTGCCAAACGAATTTTCGGTCATAGTGGGTTGCAAGGTCTTGTGCATCCTCTTTCAGCATATATACTATCTGCGCGCGTTCTGTCAAGGTGAGGAATCCCGCCGTTTCGGGATACTGGGATATCGCATCAGGCACCAAAAAAAGAAAATGCCCGCGATAGAACACTTACATCGTGCATATAGAAATACGATGCAAAGGCCACTGTTGCAGATGTGATGTTAACTTCAAAGAGTCGGTATTGAAAAGACAGTGTCTATACCCAGCATGGTCGCTAAGAATCGAGATAAACAGCCAGCACGGTGAAAGAATGATCGATTATTCACCGAGGCCCTCGAGGCAGAACTAATAAGACGCAGTGAGTCGGCAATCGGTTTGCATAAAGGGGCTTACAATCCATTGCCAACCATGCAGACCACCGATCTTTGAAAAATGGTTCAACTACAGTCTCGCAATGAATGAAATTCGCTCACCCCTTCCATTTTTTCGATCACATACCTAGAAAATGCATCAATGAAAAATATTCGAAACCGCCAACTTGTGTACTAACGCTAGAAGACCACCAAATGCACCTTGACTCGACGTCAGCTTGACTTTCAAATTGTATAAATTACAACCCACCGGCGATGGTTGCTGCCGAAAAGAAAATGGCCACGCGTGAGGCAACATCGCGCCTCCGATACCACAAAGATAGATAGAAGGTAATCTATGATTGGTTTGAGATCAAGAAGTCGTCACAAGTAGACCTACCCCGGGGAAAAGACCCTAGTGCAGTTTTAGTCACTCAGGGAAAACGCAAACGATTTCGGACATACCGCCTCCGTCAAGCCGAGGAAGATTCGTGCGCTATAATGGCCCGTCAAATTATGGAGCAGCTGGCCGAAATTTCCTCACATAATAAGCTCATGATACGTTTTGCAAAGGCACATCAAAGTCATCACAAGACCTTAAAAGCTGGTGTCAGCGGGAGGCACCAAGGAAAGACATGTATGAACCCCAGGCAAGCATACTGGACGGAACTTGGGGAAAGGGTCAACGTAATGAAGCGGCGAGGAAGGGAAAATTATTTTGCTCACTCCACCGCGATGGTCGGACGAGCTTCAGGGCGATATTTCTATTTTGCGGTCAATGCCATTCCATCAGGAAAGAGACGTGCTGCATACGAAGGAACCTCCGCCAAAGCATAGGGAATCTATGGAAGATGAGATATGGACGATGGGAAACTGTGACAGAGCATACAAAGAAGACAGCTGCGATCTGGGACACGGCGTCAGCGCATACCATTCGGGCCATACATCAGTTTCACGTACGATGTTGTAGCGAAGGCCAACCAAGTGGGCGTCTTTTGCCATGCCTGTAATCCGACAATCATGGGAACGAACAAGCTGAAATGGTGTAAACGAACCCGCGATCTTTGCATTTCCCTGACGTCCGCCAAGATAAATATCAACCACAGCGATACAGAAGCAAGACGCACGATATTTGCTCGGTCTCTGCTCGCGGATCTGGGTCAAAAGAGGGCGGCGACAGGCGGGGCATGCTCACAGGAAAGAGAGCAATTCGAGGAGCGATACAAAAGGAAGTAAGTGAACATCGAGCTTGCGCAAAATCTTCGGCGTGCGATGTCTGTAATTTCGGGTGCGGACTCCAGATCTTTACTCGGAGTCTGGGTGTCTTCAAGTTCGTCGTAGGAAACCTTCTCAGCCTCAGTTTTCTGAAAGTGGACATGATGGTGAGAAGACCCAAGGCGGCCAGGATGAACTGGGAGCTTTTACGCATTTCCATTTACGCGAGCAGTAGCTGGAGAAAATATTCAATTGGCTCATGTCCCATGTCTGTGGAGACCGTCTATATAAGACATGGGTCTGCACCCGTGTTTGATCCGTATCCGGACCGGTCAGCACGTGTCCCAAGCGTGACGCCAAGACGTGTCGCGTTACATCCAAACACATATTCCCACGCTTTAGTTGCCGGATAACCGGTCGCGCCAATGACCCAAATCTTGTGAAAATGTTTTCGTGAGTTGAATGACACGGAACCTCCTAGAGTGAAAGTAAAAATTTGTTTCCAATATCCACATGTATGATGCCTCCATCTCGCTTTCCTCCATTTCGCGCATAGAACCATACTAGTCACTACAATTGCTCATTGCATGTAGCCAAAACATAGCGGTCAATATGAAAAATCCGACAGGAGACATCATTGCCCCATTTATTCAGAGTATGTTTATTCGCAACAACATAAGACAATTCCAAGTGTAGCAGGAGTAAAGGTGCTTGCGGTTTTGACGCGTGAATGATAATGTGTCATGATAGTCACACAGTGTGACCCTTCGCGTCCACGTCGTGTTCGCTGCTTTCGCTGCTCTGCATTCTCAGCTGTAGCTCAGACTACCAAGGGATTGACGTTGCACCAGACGCCTATGCTATTTGTTCTTTTAGGGTGATCATCTACTGCTGGGAATCCGTTCTTGGAACCTTCTGTCGGTAGTGTTCCCAAAGTTCGGTTCGGGAAATCAGTTCGAACCCGAACCGGACTGAACTGAACACAAAGTTCAGGTTCAGGTTCAGCAAATGCCCGAACCTGAACCTAAAGTTCAGTTCACGGTTCGGCATCAAGAGAAATCCACTGAACACATTCGAACACGTTCGAACTCCGAACCTGCAGTCAATTTTGAGCTGAAATTTCAACCAAAGCGGAACTTTTGAATGCCTCCCAAATAAGGCATAAACTGTGGTCAGTTTGATGGGTATCGGCACCATTACCAAATTTGTTTTTCCTTCCTCTTGTGACAGTGCTAGCGTTGACCAAGCTTTGACCGGTATTTCCCGGATCTTCTTCTGTTTTTTACTCACCCATTGCTACGTGTATTATGGGCATGAAATATATGGGTTTGTTGGCAGACAGACGGGGACCTTGCGTCGCCACACAGCAATGTCCCAGTCCCTGCAGGGAAGACATATATTAACAGGTGGTGAGCTCATAGGCTGCTCTCTTTTTCCTTTTGGTTTTACTAAGGTACTCATATTTGTCCATTTAGCTATATTCAGGTACTCATTCTGGTATATATTCTCTGTAGTCGAGCGGTTTTATCTCCACCCATCTCTCGCGCCGTCTCTACATGTCACAATCTGCCCTTGGCTGAGCCCAAAACAAGGACGGCTCCCTTCAGGATGCCTCTGAAATCCAGTTCTACTACGATGTCGAGAATGAGCACCCTATTTCCAGCCCACCAACTGCTAGTACTGTGCCATCCAGTCATCCAATGGCT